TCTCACTTTGGTTCCAGGCTGGAATGCTGGGATGTTTCTCTCAGTCAGATGCTCTGTGACCTTCAGCCAGCTGTAGGTGAGTGGAGGTCAGAAGGTCATTCACTCATTCATTACAGGACGGTTCTTGTGTTTGGATGATGTGGTTTTACCTGCGCTGGTAATTCTGGATCTCCTGCTCGATGAGCTCTCTGTACGAACCCTCCACCTTCTTATGGGTCACAGCGACCAGCTGAATCAACTCAGACCTCAACAACACACAGGCAGCATTTTACCTCTCTGACTTATTTGAAGATAATCGAAATATTCAATAAGGAAAAAGAGTAGTTTTATCCATGCTGTCTTCTGATTGGCCAGCACTGAGTGTGTAGGTGTGCTCTGGTCTCTGATTGGTCAGTGAACTGAAGCTGTGCACAGTAACTGAATGAAGTCGGTATAAAGAGTGTGAATGCACTCACTTCTCCAGGGATTTGAGGATGTAGTTGTAGTTGTTGTGAAGGAAGACGGCGCGCAGGGCCGGATCTTCATACACTTTAGCTTTATTTGACAGATTCAGCTGCAGGTTACCGAGCACTTTATCTGCGAAACACAATATTAAACAGGTCAGACAGTAAAAAATGAAAAGAACACTGATTTAACCCAGAAAAAGCTTGTATAAAATGCATGTTATGACCCTTTTAAAACATAGCACTCTTTAGTTCTTTAGTGTGTGTGTGTGTGTGTGTGTGTGTGTGTCTTACAGATGTATGTGCTCAGGAGTCTCCGGCTGAACTCTGAACTGTAGCTGCTGGCAGACGAGCTGCTCTCTGAAGACAAGAAGAGACACGTTTCAACAGCCGTTCATCTGTTTAACATACAATACATTCTCACTTCCTTCTGTCTGAGCCATTCTGACAACCTCTGAATATAATAAACTCATAAACTAGATGCTTCGATTAAATGACAGCTCATGTACTATGCTACAATATTCTATAGATATTAGAGAGGATTGTTTGAGGATTGTTTCATATCCTGCAGCCTGCAGACGATGATATGAAGAGCTCAGAGCCAATAACATGACAGAATATTTGAATCAGCACAAGAAAAAGTTACACACAAAAGTAAGTGATTCAGAGAGACAGTTCAAGGTCTGAAGTCAACATGAAATCACATTGGCCCCGTTTACTTTCATAATAAATGTTCCTGGAGTTATTGTGAATGATTGAGTCATCTCTTTTATCTATTTTACATTGTTTATGTTGGGTTGATTTCACTACATCTACATTTTAGTACTATATAATATTACTAAATAATAATGTTAGTGAAAAAAATTAAACAATAATATCATAGCCTACCCTTTCCCACTGAATATCCAGTTTCACTCAAAAAAACTTCACATTATATTTCAAATATATATTAAACAATATATTAAATTATTAATTATTAATTGGAAAAAATAAATATTGTAAATAATTTATATTATCTAGAATTATACTAGGAATAATCATTTTAATAATTATGCAGTAGTAATGCATAAAACATCAAGCGCATTATGCATCCATAATTTGAAGTATTTCAGAGTGAAACATGTTTGTAAATGTTATTCTCAGTATAAGGTGCATCGACGAATCATTCGCGACACGTATGAAGACAGTAAATGGAGTCAGCTGTGGTTTCATGTTCTCTACTCGTCCGCTCGAGCGCTTACCTCGGGGGTCTAAAGGAATATTGTAAGTGTCCCCGAGTACTACAGGACAGAAGCAAAGCAGAACAGAGAGAGAAAGAGAACAAGAGAAAGAGGCAGAGGGCGAGAAGTTAAAATAGTTCTGTTAGTGAAGAGCTTCACCACTAATAGCCAGCCAGGATGAGCGAGCAAGATCATGTGACAGGAGCAGAGATGAGTGGGCGGGGCTGAGAACACAGTGGGAGGAGCTTCAGAGTGTCATGCACTGCTGTGAACATGAGTATACAGAACATAAGAAGAATAAGAATAATGCTTTAAAATGAAAAAAAAAATATATATATATTAAAATTATATAAATTAATGCACATACATAACATAACTTTCTGATTTAATATTTTAATTAATAATAGTAGAATTAATTAGTAATCATTTTAATTAATAATAAAATAAAATTAAATAAATTAAATAATATTAATTATAATAAAATTAAATAAATGAACATACAGAATATATAATATTACTTTCTGATCATTTTCACGGACCACTTTAACAACAACCGTAATAATAATAATGCTTTAAAATAAAATAATAAATTAAATAATATTAATTAGAATAAATGCATATAAATTAATAAATATACAGAACATAATGAACATACTACCTTTTGTCTTAATATTTTAATTAATAATATTTAGAATGAATTATTCATTATTTTAAATAATAATAATAATAATGCTTTAAAATGGAAAAAATAATAAATTAAATATTAACTATAATAAAATTACATAAATTAATGAATTTGCAGAATATAAAATTACTTTCTGATTTAATATTAATTAATAATATTTACATTAATTATTAATTATATTAAATAATAATAATATTGCTTTAAAAAGAAAAGAAAAAGGAATAATAATAATTATAATAAAATTTAATTAAATGAAAAATAACATTTATAATTATTTTTATTACATATAGTAATAATAATAATTATAATTATTATTAAAAATTAAATAAAACAATAAATTAAATAATAATAATTCTAATAAAATTATGTAAATGAATAAAAGAATACAATTCTGCACCTGATGTCATGACAGGAACCATTAGTCGTTGTGTGTGATCTACCTTAATACTGTCAGCAAACTCCTCCAGCGCTTTAGCTCCGATGGTCTCCATAGAGGTGATGAGAGCTGGGAGCTTGTTCTTGGTGCTGGCAGCCGTTCCCTGCACCACAACACAGGATATGACATCGTCAGCTACGACAATGTGCCAAAAATCCAGTGTGGACATTTGATTCTTTTTCATTTGCTCTCTCTCTACCTGTAGCGTGGCGTCAAAGTCAGGTTTGGTCTGCTTGAGGTGGCGCAGGATGGGGAAGATGGTCAGCACAGCGGAGTAATCGTGTCTCATGATGGCTCGACGCGCCGCGGAGACGATGTTATCGCCCTCCAGCATCAGATTATCCAGCGCTTCCTGCAGCGACAAACACTGTGATTACACACACACACACACACACACTCACACACACTGAACACACACACACACACACACACAGAACACACACACACACACACACACCGCACTGACCTGTATGAGTGAGTCGAAGGTCTTCTTCTGGTGATGTTCTGGGATGATCTCGGTCAGTAGCACGTATTCGCTCTGAGCCAGCTTCACAAACGCGCTGATGCAGTGGATGTACGAATCGATCTCGATGTCCAACACGTCATCCTTCCCTGAGACACACACACACACACACACACACACACACACACACACACACCCGTCAGAGCTCAAGAAAACTACATTCAAATATGATCAGTGGGGACCAAGGGTGATATATTAATAATATCTTACACTTAATGTGATTAAAGCACACAAGAAGGACACCAAACAGAACTGAAATCTGCTTGATATGTGAAAAGACTCATTATTTTTACAATTCCATTCGGTGCTACTAGTGATGCAGTAAATAAATACTGCAGCTTTAAATATATCTGATCAATATGAGACCAAAGAGCTATAAATGAAAAATAAAGATGTCGTTTCTCAATCATATGTGTTACAAAAATTTCAAAATCCTTTTTACTTTTTCAAAATGTACTGTAGCACTTGAAATAAATATGATTTCTGAAGTAATGTTGCGTGATACTGCAGGAAACCAAATTTACAGCATGTGATTAAATGAACATTACAAATGAATGACAAACAGAACAATACCCCTAATATTTCTTCATATTTAATCACTCCAAAGTTCAGCAATAACGAGTCTCAATGATGCATATAAATAATATCCATGTTACTGGATGTTCAAACTGGATGTTGATGTTGAAATGAATATGAAAATTTTAAGCAAAAGACTTGAATGTAGGATGACCACTTGAATTTTTAAGGTCTGATTCAATGTTGAATGAACTGACAGAATCACTGACTCTTCGAACTGAAATAAATATTTTTAAATAATTAATAATAATACAATGAATTACTAATTCGATTTAATAATAATAACAACAACAATAATTCTTTAAAATAAACAAATTAATAAATTGTTTAAAATTAATGATAAATTCTATAAATTAATAAATAAAATTCATAATTTACAATTAATAAAATTCAATGTAGGACATCCTCTTGATTTTTTAAGGTTAATAATAATAATAATAATTAAAAATGTTAAATAATTTAATAATCATTTAAAATAAAGCAATAACACATTAAATAATATCAATTATAATACAATTATATATATTAAAAAATCATACGTTTAATTTAAAATGAATACAATTAAATGTAGAAAGTCCTCTATAATTTTTAAGGACTGAATCACTCACTCTTTGAACTGAACCCAATATCACTGTTGAAATTGTATTGATAACCTCTCTTAAATTAAAACAACAGCATCTTTGAAATACTGGTAATACTTAAACTCATCCCTCAGTTTGTAAGAACACAAAAAACTTGTTTACAGGTGATCTCTAGCTGGGCCACTGCAACAGTATAAACATTCAAATTCACATTATTTTAAACATACAGCACAACAACAGGATTTACACAAAACGTGTGTTCTGTTCACTTGATGCTAATGTAACAAATTACATCATTAGTTCTTTATAAACTGAGGGATGAGTCAGAATGATTGTTTTGAACTCAGCATTTGTGTTTTTTCATAATCTTTGATGTCAGACTCACCTGCAGCCGCCCCATGCTTGTCGTCAGACAGGTGCTTAACCCCACGCAGGTCATGATCGAAACCTGATTGGTTAGGATATAGTCACATGACCGGGTCACTCACCCCAGGCTACAGAGGGAGTGCTGAACAAACTCACCCGCCCACAAAGCAAAGGAAACACTCACGCGGCTCGACCGAGTGCTGGATGTTAGTGGGGTTCAAGTGCACCGATGGACCCAGCAAAGCACAGAGACTTATGGGAAACACTGACGTCAGCTTGTCCTCAGTTTGAGAGAGAGAAAACAATGACCACGATCTTCTTGCTGCCATGCTCAACTCAAAAAGTCTACTTTCTACTTGGAAAAGCCAACAGAGTGAAGCTGGACTTAAAATGGGGAAATATCTGATTTCACTGAGATGCAGTGTTATTATTATACACTATTATTTATATGCTTTTTTATTTATATTTTTTATAGTTTCAGTGTTCATTTTAATTTTTAGTAATATTTATATATTACTTTATATATTTTCATATTTACATTTTTGTTTTAATTTCAGTTTAATTTAGTTGTTTTTCATTTAGATTTATTTCTGTTTTAGTCATTTTAGCACTTCAAACTTATTTTATTTCATTTAGCTGCCAAAGCAACATTTCTAATCTGTGTTTTTTATTTTTAAGTTGACGTTTTTCAATAATATTTACTAGTGCTTTCAAACGATTAATCGCATCCAAAATATAAGTATTTGTTTACATTATATATGTGTGTGTACTGTGTATATTTATTATGTATATATAAATACACACACATGCATGCATATATTTCAGAAAAATATGTTAGGTTTATGTATTAAAAATATGCATATATAATATAAATTATATGAATATAAATATATACATGTAGATATTTTCGAAATATATGTATGTGTGTGTATTTATATATATATATAATAAATATACACAGTACACACACATACAGTATATTATGTAAACAAACTTTTATTTTGGATGCAATTAATCGTTTGAAAGCACTAATGTTTCCATTTTATTTCAGCTTTATTTCGCATTATGACATTTAAAAAAAAATAGTTTTAGTTAACAATAGCTATACTGATAGTATGATGTCACGTAAACCATAGCAAACTCAGCTTTTGCAAAACATTTTACATGGCAATGTATGAGGCAAAATATTTAGTTAAATGCTGCTGTTCATTGCCATAGCTTCAACTCACTTAAACTGTAAATTAAAGTGTTTTTAAATTTCACAATGTCACAATTCAAATCCTCATTGTTTTTTATTATTAAATAAAAAACAATTATTAATACTATTAATTACACAGTTATTATTTATTATTTAATTAAACATATTTTGAGTTATCAATGTATAACTTAAAAATATTTTACATTTTAAAAAATAAACATATATTGCACAGATGAGACAAACAGTGGCTCTCTCAGGACGGTTGGTCTCTCCATTGTGAGGATGCTTTCACCTCACTGAGGACGAAACTGCTGTGGCCCACAGGTTTCTGTGTTATCCGACTGTTGTTTTCGGAAACGCAGGAACAACAGTTCAAAAACAGCAAAAGTGAGAAAAAAAAAAAACAGAGACAGAGCTTGAGAAGAGGAAGGAAACCAGAAAGACAGCGTGCTTTACCTTCCAGAGGAGTGAGGTTAGAACCCTTTTTCCCATCCAGACCATGCTGAGAGTACTGTTTGAGCAGATTCTGAGCCTTACGGATCGTGCCTGCGCCCATCAACACCCAAACACAGAAACAGAGAAGAAGAAAGAGAGAGAGAGAGAGAGAGAGAAGGGGAGAGACGCAGGGATTGCAGGAGGAAAACAGAGGAAGACACCGTGAGGAAGAAGAAGAGGAAGGGCTTCTCAAACCCTGTTCACCGACACCAGAGCAACAACTGAGAGAAATCCAGATCCCTCCGAGACTATAGCCGACACCACAGCTATCACACACACACACACACACACACACACACACACACGGTCCAACATGAACCTCCCATCGCTGTTACACTGATAAAAGTCAATAAACTGGATTAGGATATTAGGAACCGCAACATTACCAACATTATATGGTCAAACTGAAAGAACTGATTTTAGTGACAAGTTTTCAAGTACACTGTAAAAAATGATTGTGATACAGTAAAAGACTGTATAAATGCTACAGTAAAAACCTGTTAATTGGTTAACAGTAAGTTTACAAACATAAACACCCAAAAAGACTTTTTGTGACTTGCGTGTCAATTTTTTACATTTTACATTTTTTTAAATTCACCATCAAACATTTATCTTGGAAGCCTAAAATCTTTAAACTAAAAATGTATTTAAAAACTAAAAATTAAATGAAATATAAACAAAGATTTGTATTTACTTACATTCAAAGCATATCTGAAACATTATTATTTGTTTTAAATAAATGAAAGAAATTAGTGAGCTTTTTTGATTAATTAAATGTTGCTTAAGGTTTTCTTTCTACTGTAAAATAAATAAATTATTTGTTATTTATAGTATTTTTATTTAGGAATCTAAATGCATAATGTGCCTTTACTCTGAAATTAATAGTGGATATGATTTACTTTCAATTTAGTTAGTATCTGTTTATTTTGGAAGAAAAAATATAGTATGTCAAATACTGGCAAATAATGTATATTGAGGAATAAATTGTATATAATTGGTCTGTTAATATATATATATATGTGATTGATTGATTGGCAGTAAACTTTCTCAGTTGACTCGTCATTAGCAGCAGTGGCAGAAAGTTAATTTTGGACCTTGCATACACACTCAGACACACACTCAGACACACACACACACATGCGGTGCACAAACATCACAATGTCTACAGCTAAACAGACTGAAGAACACGTCACACACACACACTGAGGAGAAAATACAACCAGTTAATCCATCACAGCTATTAAACCACAGCATTGTGTCACATACAGTGATGTTAATACACTCATTAAGAGTAGTGCTGCTCCAATGCATCAGCCACACAATCTAAAACCTGTTTAACATCACAAACTCAAACACATCAGACAGTCATTGTGCTGCTAAAACTAAAGGCACGTGTCTTAAAGGGGTCACATCGTCATTTTACATCATATCAGTTTTCCCTTTAACAAACTGAGTTTTCAGTAATCATTAAGTTTTTCAGTGCATTTTTAATTCTCTGTGGCCCTGGAAATGGAACGGGTTGTTATTATAGAGTTGTGCATGTAAATGAGCTCTATTATGACTGTTATGTTGATAAGTAAATGAGATCAGTCAGAAATTAACGAGCTCATGGCTGATGTCATGAATAATTTCTGAACAAGCTGTTCTTGCAGACTAGCTTGCATTCATCTTTTGTGTAGCAAACATTAGAATCTTTTCATAGTACAAATAACTAAATCGTACAAATAACAATAAATAGTGCAATGATCAAAATATTAAAGAAAACTTTAATTTATCGTGACATGACCCCTTTATTAAGCAGTTAATATGCAGTAAATGTTTTCTTCGGCAATAATAAGCACTCTATTATGACTGTTATGTTGATAAGTAAATGAGATCAGTCAGAAATTAACGAGCTCATGGCTGATGTCATGAATAATTTCTGAACAAGCTGTTCTTGCAGACTAGCTTGCATTCATCTTTTGTGTAGCAAACATTAGAATCTTTTCATAGTACAAATAACTAAATCGTACAAATAACAATAAATAGTGCAATGATCAAAATATTAAAAAAAACTTAAATTTATCGTGACATGACCCCTTTATTAAGCAGTTAATATGCAGTAAATGTTTCATGTGAAACACGACCAAGACAGAGTCAGTCTGTTAGTGAGGGCAGAACAGTCACAGCGCCCCCGTGTGGTGAGGAGTGAGCATGCGGTCAGTGTTAAGAGTGTTAGTAGAAAACAAAGAACTATCTTTCTCAATATTAAACTCTCCGTACGCAGTACAGAGCTGTTAGCCAACAAAATGTGCCCTCCACATCGAGAAAAAACAGTAGCACCACTGTGAAAGCCTGAACTAATGGCTCCAAACTGACTCCCAGTTCCAACAGACGGGAAGGAGAATGTCTGCTAAATGTCTTAACTAGCTCAATATACTAGTTATCCTGATTAATAACAATTAATTGGTCTGGCTGAGATATAAGTTGTGTGTGTGTGTGTGTGTGTCTGAATGGATGCATCTGCTATGGTGTATATGTCCATTTGTGTGTGTATAAAGGCTTTCTCACATTCAAGAAAGACAAATGGTTCATAAAACCCTACCATTCAAATGTCTGGGGTCAGTAAGATTTTCCTTTTGAAGAAATTAATACTTTTATTCATCAAGGACGCATTCAATTGATCAAAAGTGACAGTAAAGACATTTATAATGTTATAATTTCTATTTTTCAAATAAATGCTGTTCTTTTGAACTTTCTATTCATCTGTGAATCCTGAAAAATAAAATGCATCACGGTTTCCGCAAAAATATTGAGCAGCACAACTGTTTTCAACATAATAATAATAATCAGAAATGTTTCTTGAGCAGCAAATCAGCATATTAGAATGATTTCTGAAGATCATGTGACACTGAAGACTGGAGTAATGATGCTGAAAATACAGCTTTGATCACAGAAATAAATTACAGTTTAACAGAGATTCAACACTGTTTTTATTTACTATTACTGTTTTTTGTTTTTTTAATCAAATAAATGCTGCCCTGGTGAGCAAAAAAAGAGAATGAATAATTTAATTTAAATATAAATGTAATTATTTAATATAGTAAACTATTTTAATTGTTATTTATAATTTAAAATACTAAAATAACTAAAATTAATAAAATTATTAATTAATTAATTATTATTAATTATTTAAATTATTTAAAAAAACATTATTATTATTTATTTTTTAATTTTCACATTATTTTTTTTTTATTAAAAAATCTTAATGACCCTAGACCTTTGAGCGGTAGTGTACGTTTTTTGTACACTTTTTTCATCAAACTACACATTTGTCTCACGTTCTGTGTGAATAATTTTGTGTGTATTTCACCAGCACATTTTTTATATGTGAAACATGTTGGTGTTGCATGTGAATAGTCCTGTCATAGACTGCCTTTCATAGCCTGTTCTGTTGCATATATGTGTGTGTGTGTGTGTGTGTGTGTAATGGGAAGCTCTGGCTCTGCAAACAGAAGCAAGCGATGGACGCGTCACAAACACAGCTGCAACTTTACCTGGGATGTAGACTGACATCATCAGACACCAGTGAGACAGAGAGGAGAAACGGGGAGAGGAGACGGTTAGTAAAAAGACAAACACTAGGAACGGGAAAAGAGGAGAACTTCGACAGGAAATGAGGTCATGGAAGTCAGATACACCTGATCGTGATCCTTCAGCACCATCAGAAACCCAAAGAGGCCCGGTCTAGTGGGGTGAAGGGTTAAAGGTCACTGACCTGGTCTTTTGGGAGGCTTCTTGGTGGGCGTCTCCTTGCGTTTGGTCTGAACGGCGGGCGAGTGCATGGCAGAGGTGGCGCTGTTCTTACGGAAATGCTCCTTCAGTCCCTTAATGGACCGATCCAGCTGACTGGACCGCACCTGGAAATACACGTTCATGAAGTCTGCAGAAAAACAAACACACGGCATGAGATTTCAAACATCCTCAGTGAGCAGCATTCAGGTTCTGGAAGTAAAACCCATTCATTTTCTCCATAGGGAAATTGATTTTTAATGATAACCGATAAGCTATTAAAGACAGACCTGTTGTGAGGTTGTTAAAGGGGTCATATGATGCTGCTAAAAAGAACATTATTTTGTGTATTTGGTGTAATGAAATGTGTTTATGCGGTTTAAGGTTCAAAAAACACATTATTTTCCACATACTGTACATTATTGTTTCTCCTCTATGCCCCGCCTTTCTGAAACGCATCGATTTTGACAAAGCTCATCGGTCTGAAAAGCGAGGTGTGCTGTGATTGGCCAGCTATCTAGTGCATTGTGATTGGCCGAATACCTTAAGCGTGTGACGGAAATGTTACGCCCCTTAACATATACTGTGATGCCGTGTCCGGCCGGAGCAACTGAGACAAAAACATTAAAACCCCGGTGGGCTCAAGTGAGCGGCGGCTGGCGGATTCGACGAAGGAGCGTCCGGCGGGCTTGCGACAACCACATGTGACGACCCCGGTGACGTAGACATGTGGGGGCGTGTTAGAACGAGCAGTTGTAGGTAAGCGTTGTTGACTCTTAACTTTTATAAAGAATATCTCTTTGGATTTGAGACTTTAGCTTTGGCAACTTTACAGATCTTCTTTATGCACCAAGAGCTTGTAACACTCCAAAGAGAAAGGAAAACGCATCATATGACCCCTTTAATCAGTGATATATGCTTTAGTTAAAACCATCTGTTCACATAAATTCAAATATTTTTTAGATAATCAAGTGAATTAATAGCAGAACTCGTGGTGAAAAACTGCATTACCCATGATGCTGTACAGAAAACCAGTTTTCATACAATAATAATTGTGCGTGTATAAATTTAAAATAAACATAAAATACATTGTTTCCACAGATACAATCAACAAATAATATATATAATACATTTAACTTTTTTTGCACATTAGAAGTTAACTTTTTTTACATTTGATTTTTTTCTGAGAAAAAAATTATGACTATATTTCCCTTTTTTACCTAATTTTACAGAACAAATGTCATATTTAGAACAATAATTATTAATAGATTTAATAGATTAATAGATTTCATTAAAAGACTATGTTTAAGAAGTTTAAAATGTAGTATGTTCACTTATTCTTTTATATATTTTAAGTACAGATCAGAATAAGTATGTCATTTCATTTTTACACAAATATATCTTTTATGCTGAATGATGATGAAATATTGTTTCACAGATTTTTTTGACTTTTTTTCTCCCACAAAAGTAATTTAAAACATTAAAATAGACACTTTACTTGCATTTAATATGCTTTATATGCATATAAAATAACTTTAAAAAATTTAATTTCTTACAATGTCTTGTCTTTGGGATGTCTTGTTTTTGTCCCATATATATTCAACTAATTAATTATTTTATGTCATTTAATTTGGTGTTTTAAATTAACAATTAAATAATTACATTGTTTACTATATTAAATAATTAAATTTAAATTACATTTCTCTCTCTTCTGCTCACCAAGGCAGCATTTATTTAATTTAAAAAACATGAATAGTTTTATATTTCACGATCATTTTAAATTTGATTATGTCATTTGCAATGCCTCATGGGATTGTAGTCATGATCTTCAAATACTGTTTTGCTTCAAATAAATGTTTGTAGTATGGCTATTCTAATCTAATCGCATTCAAAATAAAAGTCTATGTTTACATACTATATGTGTGTGTACTGTGTACATATATTATGTATATATAAATACACACACATGCAGTATATGTTAAGGAAAAATATGTTAGATGTATATATAAAATATTTCTATTTATTAGTGCTGTCAAACGATTAATCGCGATTAATCGCATTTAAAAAAAGTTTTTGTTTACATAATATATGTGTGTGTACTGTGTATATTTATTATGTATATATAAATACACACACATGCATGTATATATGTAAGAAAAATATGTTACGTTTATATATTAAATATATTTATATATAATATAAATTATATGAATATAAATATATACATGTAAATACATGTAAGTATTTTCAAAACATATGCTATATGTGTGTGTCTTTAAATATACATAATAAACATACACAGTACACATATATTATGTAAACAAAAACTTTAATTTTGGATGCGATTAATCGTGATTAATCGTTTGACAGCACTAATAAATAGAAATATTTCATATATAAATCTAACATATTTTTCCTTAATATATACATGTATGTGTGTGTATTTATATATACATAGTAAATATACACAGTACACACACATATAGTATGTAAACGCAGACTTTTATTTTGAATGTGATTAATCGCGATTAATCGTTTTGCAGCCCTAGTTTTTAGCGTTGTGCTTCTGCTCGTAACTGGTTGGTTTGGTTCACTGCTTACAGCAAATTTTTTAAAATCCCTTTGGGAAGAATGAATGGAAAAAATACAACACTAATGACACTAATGGCACTAACACACTTTATGACATATAATGGCACAGATAAAAGCGTTTGCGTGTGTGCACCTTGGTTGCGTCCGTACTCCACCAGCCAGGCAGAGATGCAGATGATGTCCTGCAGGACGGCTTCGGGCAGGTGCTCCAGCGTCACGTATCTATCTATCTATATTTTATCTGTTATTTAAAACTGTAATATTTCACAATATTAGTATTTTTGATCAAGTATATGCAGTCTCTATGAGTATGAGACTTCAAAATAATTATATTTAATAATTAGCTTAAACTATTTTATATTCTTTATAATGTTAATAATTAAAAATATTCAAATAATTATTTAATAAAATAAAATAAGAAATATATACACAAAATTAAACTGTATTAAATATATATATTTGTATACTGTATATATACACATCTATCTATCTATCTATCTATCTATCTATCTATCCATCC